TTCTCTCCACGACTCTCAGAATTTGGTTTACCATAAATCCTGCCAATGCCATTGCAGTTTCTTCCCTTCGATTTCGGACACCACGTTCTAGCAAATAGAATTTCTCACGCTTCCTACAAAAGTCCACATCAGGATTTTGATCAGCAACCAACTTCAAAGCCGGACTCGCAAGAGAATTCTTGGGTCTAAATCAATTTTACCGGACGTTTCCAAAATGGCGACCCGCCGCAATATATGACCTTAAGATTCTTATCAAAAGTAGGATCTACCGACGGTCAATTCCAAATTGCGCCGCAATATTGCATCCTGCTAACGGATTCTATCTCTTCTGGCAAACATTCAAAAATCATTTCGCTCAACGACACTGCCACATCTGCCTTTTTAACACATTCAAGTACAGACCTTGCGCCCAAAGACACTGATCACCACCCGTCGTTCCAGAAGCACGTATTGCTATGGTAGTAGATAGCTGTCAGTCGCAGTCGGTCGTGTTCTCAGCAACAGAATTCAAGGTACACTGGCAACCAGCTATCTTTTCAAAAGCCTTCAACACATTCAAAATACAGCACTGTGGCCGCGACTCTGGCATTTAATTCTCCCATCCGGCACTTGCCGATACTTGAGGGACGTGAATTCTATGCTTGACAGCACCAAACGTACCCAGCCCTATCACTTTCACAGATCGCTATCTTCCCACGAAACACGTAAACCTGCGGAGATTAATGTCTCCCCAGTTCAACCAACGACATTTCCCAAATATCCAGGGATTACGCAACCATCCAAGTAGTGATGCTTTATCGCAATGACAAGTCAACGACTATTCATGCATAGTACCTCGATCGATTTTTGCTGCTCCTCGCCAAGCACAGACAAGAAGACCAAGAACCTACCACCTCTTGAACAGTACGTCAGCGCTTTGTCTCAAATATGTCCCATCTGCCATTTTCCTCTGGTTACCATCCCTCGTGTGACACTTCAACCGATTCACCAAGACGTTTATTGTTTCCCATCTTTTCCGCCGACTTGTGTTTCGACAGCCTCATATCTCTGTCTCACCAGTTATTTCGTGCTAACTCAACACACTGATTTACAAGAACGTTTTGTCTTGGCCGGCATCAATCCAAACACAACATTCGTGAGTGGACCCCGTTCCTGTGGGTTCAAAGTGTTTCACAAGTGTTCAAGTATCATCGGCCACACCACCACTTCCACTTGGAACTTTTGGTCGTTTACAGGGCCTGACGACCTTTGACCAACTCAAATTACACATCTCGGCTGGCAACTTCACCATCACAAGGGATAAGAACTACTCACATGGTAATTGATCTTTCACTCGCTCATGCCACACAAGCCATTCCAACTCATCCGTATAAGCTGAATGCAAATTGCTTCGTGCCTTCCTCTTCCCCCCAAATTGGATTTCGTTCCCCTTTTTGTTCCGTCTCACATCAAACCGACCGCGTTGCATCAGTTCGAAAATCTTCCCTCCTTTGCCAAAAACTTACCATGCTTTCCTTGGAATGAACGCATTCGCACCACTGCCTACCATCCCAATGTGCCAACGGAATACATCGAACGCTTTTCAGCGTCAACTTAAATACTTTACTCAAGGCTTACCCTTGACTCTCAAGATGGGACAGAAATTTCTGCCCACATATTCTCCTCAGCTCCGTAACACAGCTCAAGCCGACTGCTTGCACCGCCATCTCAGCTCGTCTTCGACACATTAACCTCGTATCTTACCGGCCAACTCTTCACTCCGCTTCACGAACAAATGATTTGAGACCCCAACAGCTCTTGCAGACTCGTTCATTCCATCCGCCACTTGCATCGTGAACCAATTTCACCACAGTCCGTCAAATCACCACATCGCAATGGCCAAAAATATTCCTTAACCTGCACCCATGTTTTCGTCCGCACCGGATGCTGTCGCAAACCACTATGAGCCGCTCCAATACACCGGCATTAAAATTCTTCGTCCCCGCCATACCAAGCATCTTTACCTATATTTTCATCCGATGGAAAAGAAGCACAAACTGTCAGCAATCTATAGAGTCGCTTAAAACCAGCCCATACCTCGACACAGAATACTTTACTCCACCGTGGCAGTTTTTTTTTTAAAACAGCACCACAACCTGCATCCGGCTCCCTGCTCCAAATTTACTACTCCTGTTCTACATTCATCAGCCGAGCGCCGAGACTACCGTCGCGACGCATAAATGTTCGTTTCTCAAGCTCTTTTACATATATAAGTTGTTCCCAACGCTATCAGTGAAACACAATTGACTGTTGAATATTGGAATCTTTTTGCGGATTTTTGCCGTCCTCGTTTCTCTCTAAATGTGGGTAAAAGTTGTGTGGTTTTCAAAGCCCCTTTGTATTTAATCTCAGGAGACTCCTAAAGTTCTTTGTTCTCGCAAAAAAACATCATATATGTTTTTTGTTTCATGTGCTTTTCAAGGTCTCTCAAATCATCTAAACGATGGGCAAAACTTATTCTAATGTTACCGACCTTTTTTCCTATTTTATGAAACGTGTCTTGTTTTAACTAAATAGAAGTGTATGCGCACTTATGTGAAGGCTGAGCGCCATTTTCACCTTACGGAGCAAAAATCAATCTCCCTATTTTATTTTACATTTTATTGCTGGTTACGGCGCAGGACAATGTTCATTTTTTTCTTTGACTTTGTATCTCAGGGCTGAGTTTGTATGCCCTCTATCAGAAAATAGGCACACATATGTTAAGCGGGTTCACTCCCGTCTGGAGAACACATTTTTTTTCCTTCCTAAGGAAATTAGCAAAAGGAGTAAATCACAGACATAGAACTACTTTTTTGTTTACAAGATTGTATTTCACGATGCTTCTAATTTTGTCAGTGACTGAGCCCTTGCCCTCCCTTAGCTGCTCATTTTTTACGTTCTACCTTTTCTTCTCTTGGGTTGCGCAAAGTGGTATCCAGCCCCATCTTCTTCTTTACGTGGGTATATGTTTCCTTATATAGCTATCTTTACATCAATCACAAGATACTTTCTTACTATGGATTTCCGATCTCTCATACCTACCTGATTTCCCTTTCTCGAATACCGCAACTTCAAAACGCGCGCTATATCCCAGAGGCAGTTTAAATCGACGATATCACCCTCTATGTCAGACATTGTCTTCTCTTGTTTTTAGGCCCTCATCAAACCCTACACAATCTACCTAAATCTCAATTCATAAAAAAAACTAATTCACACTCTAGGCCTGACCCTTCCTTTTCCCACCGTGCTACCTTTATTAGTTAAATACTCTTAACCGCTTAGTAAGATGCTACCGGCTCGCCACATATTGCACAACATGCTGCTTAGAAATGTTATTAATCGTTTATACTTCAATGGAAATACTTTCTCACATGTTCCAACCAAACTGCCGCCTCAAGAGGTTCGCCCCAAGAGAGTCAATGCACAAAAACACACAAGGTTTGATGTTTTTCTACTACGAAATATTCTACTTACGTGCTTAGTCTTGGGTTGGGGTCGCGATTTTCGCCGGGGTGGTGGGGGGGGGGGGGGGGTGTTCAGGTAATTTTGATGGATTATAGTCGCTTTTTAAGGAAATCTATTTGCTATGATCTACTGGAAGGCAGGACCGTACCGAGTGGGGGGCAGATTTGTCCCAGAGTGGAACCGAGACTAGGAAAGGCTGAGCTCAAAAAAAGGTCGAGTCAAAGTCTCCTCAAAAACATTTTCAATAATAAATTGTAGTTTTACAATACTGCATTTCAAAGTTTTATGACGTCACCCACAGGGCCCCGTGTTATTCTCTTGCTCCAGCGCCTCAAGAAAGCTGTTCATCTGGGTCGGTTGCGTGCTCCTATTGCCCATCTGTGGGGACCATAACTTAATGCATACTCGAGTGCTTCGGCCCGGCGCCTGTTTAATATATGTATGTACTCACAAATATGTTGGCTCTCCAAATGTACTTCCAAAGAATAAAAATAAAGAGTAGAATTGTAGGAATGGTTTCAGGTTCAATGAGACGTGACGGTACTCGCTCAAGTTTTTTGCTTTCAAATAGACACTATACATTTATATTGACCTCTTGTAGAATGAAGTGATTCATAATGATTTGAATCGTTTTTGCTCTACATCTAAGTGCCACTCCTCTGTCAACATAACAGAACTTCCTCTCGCATTTTGTCTTCTCGCCAATTCGATCATTTATATAAGACTAACTCGCTTTTAACAGCTAACCACATTTTCAGAGCGCTTGTCCCGTTGCTATTATTAACAACTGAATATCACGACACCACAAAGTGTTTGTGCGATACGTCACCGACTGTTGACGGGTGCGGTGTCTTATACTATATGCTATTAAAATTATGTCTCGATAATTGCTTCAAAGGACATCATTAGCGGATAGATGACGGATGGGGGGAGGGGGGAGTAATGGACAACCTTGATTGATACCAGGTTGGATAGTATGCTCCAACAAAAAGAAACTTGTTAGGACTTCCAAGGTTAGATAGGAGGCAGTTTCTTATGCTTTTCAAAGTACGAACAGCCTGTGGCTTACCCCCTTCCGATTATCTCTCTCGCTCGCTCACATCTTTTTTGCCTCTTAGTTGTGTTGATCTAGTCAAATCAGGGCGGTAAGCGGACAGGAGGTTTCGTTCGGAAAGGAACCGGCACGAACAACGCGATCTCTTTTGTACACTCTGCTTCATTGTCAACCCTATTACTTCACAAGGTAGTAGATCCAACTAGGTATCTCAAAACTCCAAGGTTGTGCCATTAACCTCCACCTCCCGGTCTTAGCACTACTACTTAGATGTATTCTTCGCATAATCCATGTTATT